GCAAAAAGAGAAGGAAAAGCCTTGGAACAAGCATAAAAAGCCTGACTGGAGGCTGGCATTGTACGCTAGCAGAAAGGATTGGATAGTCACAGAGTAGATATGATCGGTCTTGGAAAAAGGGGCAGACTCCTAGATGTTCGCTTCTTACTGCCAAGGAGTCTTGTTCCTCTGTTTACTGCTCCATAGCAAAAACAGGCAATGGGCATTAGTAATACTAATTAACAGTAGAACTAAATACTGGATGTATTAGTTACTATGTTAACTAAAGCAGCAGATGCCTCTGCCGTGAAACTCAAGATTCTAACTCTGCAAATGAAGTGCCTAATGCCACTTGTTTTTCCCCTTTCTTTTTAATCACTAGGAAGTTGCACACAACATATACTACACCATGAAAATAATATTGGACAAAAGATGGGATGCAAAACTTCCTGTGAGAACTTTCATTCTTCCCCTTATGCATACACATTACAGTAAAGTCCTTAATTACATGATCACACAGACAATTTTCCACCTGGGACCCATGTCTTTTAGTGCACACAATGGATTCACACTGACAGTGAATTGGAGCTGTACATAAAACACTTGGACCACTATTTTCAGCACTCTGGCCACTCTTGCCACAGAAACAGTAGGCTGAAAGAAAGGCTGAGAAGAGATGAAAAAGAAAGGCTGGGCTGGAAATGAAGGTCTTCTCTGTCTTGTGGCTAAGACCACTGCAATGCTGCCCCAGGATCTAGGTTCTGGCCTTCTTCAGCATCACAGGAGGATTCTGCAGCAAGGAAGCTAGTTTAACAAAATCTTTCAGAGATTGTTGCTAATCTTGTGCTTTCTCTGCCTCCAGGGGTCAAACCTGACTAAAGCGCTATATGCTTCCAACTGCCCCTGAGGTCAGCGACAATATTGCCCTGAATTTAAATGCGTCAAATGCCAAATACTCCAAAGGCCTAAAACATACCAAATATTCACCAATATTCTTGCTTTTAATTGGTCCTGGTATGACTGAGTTTATTCTCGTATTCGCATTATCTCCCTCATCTCAGAGATACTGTAAGAATAAATTTACTGATATTAGGGCTGTCACTGGTGTAAGATGCCAAGATCAACAGTGCAAGGTCTGAATGCAATGCAAACACAGTGTAAACAAGGTGTTGAAGGAACTCTCTGTGTAGTAGCAAGATATTTATTTTGAGGGGTGAGGTACAACAGGATTTTGCTATATTCTTTTTGCAGGCTGGACACTTCCCTGTGCCTTCACAACACAGTTATTTTAATTGTAGGTAGCAACAGACAGAATTTTGCAAAACCAAGTCAGATTAAGAAAAATTTTATCACAATCCACTGGTTCCTACTGAAATGCTTCCAATGTTTTGCATTATGATGTCTGTTTTAATGGCTGAATCTTCTATGACTAAGGCTGCCAGAGTTAAAATTCATAAGCGAGCCTACTTCAGAATCATCAGAAGATGCAGAAAATCCTCACGATTCCAGAATCCAAATTCTCCTTGTGCATATTACAGTGAGACCCAAATAAAAAACAATTCACAGTGCTTGCAGTGATACAGGTAGGGGACAGGGAATGAGCCAGCAAGGCTGGCTGTCATAACCCATCTATGGCTGCGTGCTTCATCTCTGCATGAATCTCTTTATGACAAGTCAAAAGTGAGGATACCACATTTATTGGCTTACAAAATGTAGACATCACCTTGCCTACACACCTTCTATCTGCAGGCTGAACACAGCCGATCTGACCACGCTTACGTTCTGACAGATCCAAGTTAGGCTGTTGCTGTTGATCTGGGCAGATCAGCCTGATCAGCTACAGCAGCCCAAGCCCCGAGCCCGAGGACTGAACTGTTCGCGACTCGGGTAAGTGCCAGCTGTCTGGGCAGCACACTCTCTTCTAACAAGCTCTGCCTCTCTCTTTGACAGAAGGGCAGCAGAAAGTGCACCAGTGGGATGTCAGGGCTGACATCCCCTGTGGGCTGCCACATCGACTATAATGACCTACATCTACTCTTCTCTACCGTTCTTCCCTCTGGCTTTCTGCAGTATCAATGATGTTCTGCTACACTCTACACGGCACATGGTTAGGAAGAGGGATCACCCTGCTGTATACTAATTGTCAAAACCATGTATTTTTCAATCCTAGATTGGTGGGGAACAGTGACTTTTCCTTCCTTAAGTTTTTATGCATCCAGTACATAGACACATATAATGCTACCATCAGAGCAAGACAACTCTGCTGCCATAACTGACAAAATAAACTTTATGCATTCACACCACCTGCTCCAGGAAGCTGCAGGAATTAGAAGTTTGCCAGAAACAGAAGTAGTACAGGTCTAAATTAATGCCAAATAATTTTTATATTAAAATTCACATCAGAGGGACAATTTGCAGTGGGCTATTGTGTTAAGTGGAATAGCTAAAGCATGGTGACATTCCTGCACAGAAAGTGCAGTTCTGTTCATAGTTCAGCCAAGGCTGATAAGTTTTCTAGAAAAATACCTCCCGTCTCTCCCCCAGCAAACTCAGTGTCCGTCCTCACTTTTGCAGATGTCTAAATCCTTGTCTTTGCGTTCGTTTGACTAATAAAGCCATCACATCAATTACTGAAGTTTACCAAAGAAAGAAGGACAATATAGAACAGTATTGAATCTGCCCTTCTTCAATCCAGATCACAAGTCCTCTCCCAAGGAAAAAGCCCAACACATCTTCCTTCAGCTCGCTCACACACTGACCTGTTTACAAACCTGGTAAAATATAAGGCATCTCGTCAAGCAGTAGCCAAAAGCCACAGTCTAAGAGTCGAAAACTTTGGTGATAGGTTTTTGCTATGGTTATCATCTTAATTTTTTTGCTTTGGAACAAAGTAACTTCTTTAAAACTTAGCCAGCCAGCAGGGCAAACATTTGCCCAAATGGAGAGCCATTTGCCCAACAGATTTAATTTTAAAATATATTTCATCAAAACAATAATACACTAATAAAATTCACAAGTACCCAGGCATATAAGGCCAGGTGTTTCATCTGCTTCCCTTCCCAAACAAGAACATGCAAGTGCATACATCACCTCAAAAATTTAAAAAATTAAATTGAAAAAACCCAACAAAAAGCAACTCATAAACCCTCAAGAAACTGGAAAATAGAGAACAGAGCTGACAACTTTTATTCTGACAGCTTCCAACATGACCCACACAGACACTATACCTTCAGAGCTAAGAACCATCGAAATACAGCATAATTGCTAGTAAATTTGTAGGGTTTGGTTTGTTGTTTGGTTTTTTTAAATAACCTTTACTACTCCCTGTGGCCACCAATGAATTTGCTATTGCAGTGAAATGTTACACTCCTCCCAGCGAGCGCGTTTTCTAAACAATTGACATTCAACAATAGATAACATTGAAGCATTGGTAGGGCAGCTCCAGAGGATGACATACAATTATGTAAAGCTTTGAACAAAGGCATTCACAGAGGTCTCAGGAAATGGATTTTCATATGACTAGCCATCACAGTATGTGTTATGATAAATGCTGCAGGCACAGAGTTCTCAGTTACTTTGGTTCCTTACAGTAACTCTACTTCCCCACTCTTAAATACACTAAAATACCTCCTGAACTGGAAAAAAACTGGGGGGGGGAGTCATCTTTTCAGTTATTTTTACGCATCTCTTTATCTGCACACTCCAAGGTGACTGAAATGGAGCTTTCTGAGCATATCATGTCAAAGTGACATGACTCGAAGACTGGGCATTTTTCATAAATTTGACATTCTTCCTTGCAGAATTCAGTGCCTTTCACTTGAAAGGACACCCATGGAAGTATTTTATGACTTCACTGAGATACTTCTTAGCAGCTGAACTACTCCCCCCCCCGCCCCCTTGGCTAAATGCACATTCTTCATCCATTTAACACTGCACTAAGGTAGCTTTAAAAAACCCTAAAACTGGATGGAGGACTAGTAGTCACTCGCATTGGCCACCACACTGTCCTGCATTTTTATTTTTAAAAGCTGTTTCTAATCCTCAAAAAAAACCAAAACCCAACCAAAAAACGTTCCTTTAGGCTAAGATAATGTTCTTCCGGATGCTTTTGATTGAAGTGTCATTATGAACTCTTCCCAAGAAGAGTTTTGGAGTACTTTCATGTTGCAAGTTCCTCACTGAGCTTAAACCAGCTCATTAGCTCCAGACAACAGGACAGACAGGACAGCAAAGCCCTCAGCACAGGCTGCAACGGATGGCAAGACCCAGCGTGAATACTAGGACAATTTGTTCACAGAGCTTAGTGCTCCTATGTCAATATTTCTAGCTGAGCTTGAATTAGCTAGCTACTTCAGCCAACTTAATTCATTCAAGTTGTCACCAAAGCAGTTCAAACAAGTCTACATCCATTGAAAACTCTGCCACTGAAATATCATTCTGGAGGAAGTTTTGGAATTTGAAAATTTTAGGTAAACTGTTTTGATATTACTGACTTTAGAAATTAAAGAAATATAAACCAGGATTGTGGACAACACTTAATGCTGAATTAGTAATGAAAGGTCACTCTTCCTACTGAAGACGACCTACGAAATACACGGGCAAACAAAAACAACAAGGAGATTTGAAAGTGCGTTTGTAATAATCTCCTCAATTTGAGTTCTTTATACGATTGACCTGTTTCAAATGCTAGATTGTTATGCTTAATTATCCAGGGATTTAAACACTTTACTGAATCATAATTCAGAACTAAAAACTCTGCAACTGCTTTCTGACAAATCCTAATCTGAACTCATTTAAGGAACGACCTTCCTTCAGGATAGTTATTTCTCCAGTTCCCATATAAACTATCAATGTGTTTTGAGGAAAGTTTCAATGCTATAAAGTGCATTTCAATTTGTTTCTCAAAATGTCTTAGACCACACCTCACATAATAGCAGTTCTCCGCTGGATGGAGGAGAAATAATCAAACACCCAGTGAGAGTACCTTCATTAGAATGTTCCCTTCATTTTATAAACGGTACCTTAGATGTAAGGTCTCGGTGGAAAATGCCTTTATAGTGAAGATAACTGATTCCCATAGCAATGTCATATGCCAGTTTCACCCTCACTGTCCAGGGCAGATGCTGGTTACTGTCTAATAGCTGTTCCAGGTTACCACAGTTGATGTACTGAAAAGACAAAGCATTTGTAATTAATTAATGTCATATATTGTCAGGAATGTAAAATTCATCATTACACAAGTGTCCTTAGCTCAGCTACACATGAAAAACTTTTTTTTCTTAACTGTTAGTCAAACACAGTTTGCAGATCAAGAGAGGCTGGAGATGTCTCGCTTGACCACCTGCACCAGTGCATTTATGTTAAAGTGCATGCAACGGCCACAACTGCATTAACTCTATGGTATTCAAATACTGGTATTCAAAGAGAACCTTCAAACACACCTACAATATAGTATCACCCTTTCATTTCAGTGTGAGGAAAATAAGGGCAAAAAGTATGACAAGCTGGCTCCCAAGCAGAACAAGTCGACAAAGAGAGGCCTAAGCATCCAAGTGTAGGTCACAGAGCCTGATCAAGTTCCCAGATATCAATTCCCTAAACTGAAGCCACATCAAAGAAAAATATTACAACATGTTGCTGTAAGTTACGCTTTTTCACTGCTGTATCTACAATTCTTAATCAGCAACCTGATTCCCACTGCGGTCAGTACTACATCGACTCCATCAAGCGGTAGCTCTCATGAGAAGGAACCTATATTAAGTATAAAATAAATGCTACAAGAGACAGTGAAAAAAAGCAACAACCAAATGATGCTAAGTAATATAACCCAGGCTTGAGACACAGCAGCTCCACTGCTTCTCAAATAATCACTACAGCAACACTAGGCTTATGCTTTATGTATAGACCCTTTACACCACAACAGCAGCTACACCACATTTGAGTAGCTTCTTGTTTCACTCCCAGCCCCAATCCCCTCACCAGCAACAAAGCAAAGAGACTAGCTCATTCTGGAACGAAAACCTGGCAGCAGTGCAGTGACTTTTCTCAAGAAAATCCAAGCGAAACAGACAGGATAATTTGCTCCCAAGCCTGGTCCTAGCATGTAACACAGCAGCAGGCTGCACCAACTTTGCTCCCCTGTGCCAGACAGCTCTCCAACTCTCTCTCAAGAGGCTTTGCACTTTCTTGTGTCATTCACCTGGACAAAACATATGCCACTATTATGTTAAAATAAAAATCGTATTTGCCACTCTTGTGATTTCAGAAAGTTTGAACTTGCTTGTATTTTGCTGGGCTGCTTTGTGTCTTAGAGCCTGGGGCACAAGGCGCAGGTGAACCACACGCCACGCAGCGTGGATGTTGCTGATCTCCTCAATCTATGCTATAGCAAGGAAGGGGCACACATAAGCTGGACTCTACTAGTAAGTCCGGGGCTCATGGCTCACCTCCTGACGGTCTCCAAAAGAAGAGCTTCTTCCTTACAGCCAAGCCCTGTCTTTTTCTGAGCTCATCAGTTAGTTTTGAAAAGCTTTTCCAGCAGAAAAGCAAGTTTCACAGGTTACTATTTATCGAGGCTAAATTGTTCGGGCAGATGATGCACAAACCAATTTTAACTGTCACAGAGCTTACCGGGAGGGGGCACCACAAAGCAGCGTGGGGGCTCCACTGCTCCCCTTGGCTCCACTGCCCATCCCCGGGAACCGGGTTCATGCCAGCCCATGTACAAGGAGCAGCACATCTCACCGGCAGCCCAGGATCTGACCCCTCTCTCTGGCAGAAGCTCTGTCGACTGCTGGACAAGGTGGGAAGTGCAGAGGCAGCACATGGACAGAGCGGGACCAAAGCATCCTCACCCTCAGCATCTGCTTTTCTCCTTTCAAATAGGAACCTGGTCACGGTGCTGTGCATCCACCTTTTGTCCTTGAGCAACAATCAAGGCAAAGGGCGAGTACAAGAGTTACTTCTTTGTACTAAAATGTTCTTCAAAGATGATTAATTAGCTCCAATCTGTCCCAGATTTTAGATATCAACTACCTTCTCATATCAAAGGAGGCAATCTCAGAAAAGGTGCCTGGGTCTAGGAAATCCTCCAATCTTTAGCAATTTTGTGTTCTTATGACTACTTCAAGACGCTGCTTCATATCTTTTGCATTAGTCTGACAGCAGGAGAAAGAGTGCAATGATATACAGGAAAGGATTTAAAAATAAAGTACAGAGAAACAGAATGCTTCCTCACATTGAATATTTCCAGGCAAAAAGTATTTGTATTTTACAATTAGACACGGAAATCTCTTGAACTCTAGAGAGTAATCTGACTGACATTTTAAAATGGACTGTCCTGTTCTTAAGTAGTAAAATTTTCTATCAAACTATTCTCTTGGGCTGAAGTCAAGATAATTTAATTACTCAGAAATTTGTGCTTAGTGCATATCATTTTGCAAAATAAAATGCCTGCTGGCCCCTCTCCAAAAATCAAGGCAAACAAGACTTAACACACCAATGATGATAAAAATCAAATGTTTAGGACAGCTATAGCCCAGGCGCTGCAGCTGGGGGGGAAGGGAGTTGATCAGATGACCGCACTGGAAACTAGAAATTGCAGGCTGGTGCAAGTCAGAGATCCAAAACAACCTGGTTCCTATGCTAGGAGTTCGTGTGTCAGGAGAGCAGAGCAGGACTGGAACAGGTCACTCAGAGGCTATGCAATCTCCATCCTTGGAGATTTTCAAGACCAACTAGACAGAGCTGCAGCCAACCGTACTTAATGTTGGAAACAATGCTCCTTTGAGCTTTTCCAACTTTGATCTTTCTCATTGCTTTTATTTGAACCCCTAAGGGAGCTAGGTGACCTTATAGAGCACTCAAGAAAAAAAAAAAAAACCACCAACATTGCTTAATGTAATTCAATTTTTATTTTTTTAAAAAAATTACAAGTTGCTAGCATGCTTAAGGGAAAAAACGGTGAATAAGGTTTCTACATTAAATTCTTATATACTTCCAGCCTCCCTGGAACAGCGTGAGCACCACTTCTCATCCAGTTATGTTTAAATCAGAACAATATTGACCAACCTGGAACAGAAGGCACTAAAGCACCTAGCTCAATAACCCAATTATAAAATGACACATCAATTATCTCAAACCGTTTCACCTTTCTGACTGGGCAATAACAGACCATCCATATAGCACTGCCATACTTGAATTCATTGGCAAGAGAATGCCGGGGGAAGGGAATCACTGGCCTGGCTTTCTATTTTGGTTAGGGTTGAACTGTGCCATACCATGACAGTAATTACTCCAGAAATGCTAATAAATAAAACAAGCAACCCATCAGAGTATCGACATACATACTGAAACGTGACAGTAGCTGGCTACTATTTTGAGCATGCTTATACTTTCCTTTTCAGTAAAGTAGCCTACTGATTTGGTCCATTGCTGCCATATTAGTTAAGTGCATCTAATGTAACTATTTCCCCAGAACGCTTCCAGCCAAATTGGCTTGCAGGGTCATTCACCCATCTGAACTGCAAGGACTGGATTCTAATATGGGCTGGGTGAAAACTGACACACACGTAGGACACAGCATGCATGAGCTGCAAGAGCAAGAATGAAACCCGACTGTAGCACATACACAAAACCCACCAGGCCTCCTATCCAAAACTGCCACCTGGCAAGTGCTCAGACCTCATTTATTAGAGATGTGAGTTCTGGTTTTGGCTCTATTTTCTAGCACAATTCTATGAAGCACAGCAGGCTAACCATCAAGTGAACAATTGAACTAAGATTTTCCTATAGACATCTTTAAGACTCTAGTTGATCTCAGTTTTTAGCTGGCCAGCAAGTAACATTTGCATGCAGAGTCCTGAATTGTCCCTAAGGCAAGCACCAGAGTTCAGTGCTCCCTCGGTGTCACAGAAGTAATTCAATTCTTCCGGTCATTCCGGCTGATAATGCAAACACAGCCAGCGTGATGGCCTATTTTTTTCTTCAGAGACCTTCAACAATGCCTTTTTGGAACAGACACAAAATTATGTACATTATTTCGTAATTGCCAATGCAACTGAAAGAACAGTACTCGTTCTCAATCTCTTAGTAGCACAAACCAACTCTGTGGTAAGAACATCCTGAAGGACAGTAAGTGCACCCCTCCCAAAGAGAATACTGGATTTTGTTTTGTCCCTGAAACATTTCAGTGCTGGTACAGTAAGGCTACAGCACACACATCATCTCAAAGCATTATTCTCCTACAACAACAACAGCCATTGCATAAGCGTACAAGCAATTGGAGCAGGGATCTGATCGGGCTCCAACAATGAAAGAAAAGGACACTACATTTCATAAAAAGACCTCACAGCTAAATGGAGCAGTGTTCAGACCTTTTCAAACTCTGTATCATCAGGTTGCAGTGAAACAGCTACCTATTATTCCTACTGCTAACTTTTTGTCATGTAACAGGACACCACCAGTCAGTTTACCTGGTTGCCAGAGTCTAAAAGTAACTGCTTTAGGTTGTTTATTTTGGCATTTACTACAACTTAACGCAGCAAATTGAACACTGGTTTAGAAGACCATTTACCTCACAAAAATATTCACTTCCTACAAATTTATCCATGGTAAGAGCTCATACTTTTGTTGCTAGAAGTCAAGCAAAACTGCATTTGTTACACTTCTCCCAAACCTTACGAAGAAAGAGGGCAGCAGCTTGTTAGAAGAACAAGTTACCCAGAAGCTCAGCCAAGCACAGGTGCTTTCTGGATCAAGGAGCATTGAGAAGGCTTCTGATGTTATAGCTTAACGCTACGAAATGCAAAAGCAGCAGTATATAACCCTTTCCCACACAACAGTCAGGTCACAGGGAAACATGCTATTTTAATTTAAGAATAGGATAATAGGACTGCTTCCTTGTAAGAGACACCTGCAGTTACATTATCCAACTCAAGCATATGAAATGAGGAATGGAATGAAACTCAGCATATAATGGTAGGTATACATAGCATTACATGCTTCATTTCAAGAGACTTCAAGAAATTTCAAGACTAAACTTCAGCAGTCAGATTTTAGCCTTCAAAATTCAAAATACAGGTTTGAACACACTAATATGAGAACTAGAAGCTTTTAGACAAAAGGCACATCAAATTCACGTGATTCCAGCAGTTATTACTCAGAAACA